CGGCTCCGTACAATAATTATAGGCGGTCCGTTTCGTTCGGGTACACCAGAACTCGATTTCTCGGGTGTAAATGTGTCCTTCGTCCTTGTGATGGAAGTTGACGGGCTCCGCTGGCACGGGCTCCTTCGGGCAACGATCCTGGTAGCGGACGCAGAAGTCGACGGCCTGAAAAACATTTTTTTCTGAATTTCGTCGTGGGATCTGGTGTTTGTAGTGTTTTTTTTTTGCAGAAAATCGGAATCAGTACTTTTGGTTACTGTATTTTAGTTTCTGTGCAAACACCGAATCGTACGACAAAATGCAGAAAGACGTCAGAATCGGCTGAAAACATCAAGACAGGGTGAATTGGACAGGGGAAATGCGATTTTCAGATCAAATATTTGCTTAGATTACTAATTTTCCACGGAAATGCCGCTTTCTGCATTTTGTCGTCGGATCTGGTGCTTTTACTCGATTCTAATGTGGAAATTGGAAATCAGCGTGAAATTAGGCTCTGAAACTTTTTTCTAGCAGCTCTGGGACTATTTTTTCAAATTTTGGGTTACTGTAGCCTCAAATCTGTGCAAACACTGAGGGCACTTACGACAAAATGCAGAAAGTCACAGAAATGGCTGAAAACGTCGGGTGAGAGCAAATTGAGGGTCAGGAATCCGATTTTAATATGAAAAACGCACCAAAATAGCTGTCTCAGAAGGAAACGCAAAATTCTGCATTTCGTCGTGGGATCTGGTGTTTGCGGTGTTTGCACACAATTCTAACGTGGAAATTCGAAACCAGCATCGAATTTTGGTCCTAGTACGCTTTCCCAGAAGCTCCTACGGTCATTTTGAAGGTTGTCGGGTTACTGTAGCTTGAAATCTGTGCAAACACCCCCAAACACCGAATCTTACGGCAAAATGCAGAAAATCTCAAAAACGTATAAAAACGTGTCCACAGGGTAAATCGAGGGTTAGAAAACCGATTTTGATGTCTAAAACGCGCCAAAACACCCACGTTTTCCGCGAAACTCTTAAATCTCAGCGGATCCGGGCACACGAAGCGGAAGCGTTCTCGGTGCTTTTTACAGTAGGCGGCGAAGTCGATTTTGAAGCTTTTGAAAGAAAACTAGGTGCTCTTCTATTAGAGGTAAAAGACTCACTTAACATTTGTGAAGATATAGGTGAACAGGGAATTCTGACAGTTTTTGACAAATGCCAAACAGAATTCTCGAGTTTCTTGGAATGCCGCCAAAGGGGGCGTGGCGAAACAGACCTCATCATATTCGTCACGCAGGTTTTTTGCACGCCTGAAAGCCTTTAATATAAGGGCATCTGTAGGAATATCTCATTGTCCGGATGTCCGTGTATCCAGAATCCGGTTGTCTGTCTGTCTGTCTGTCTGTCTGTCTGTCTGTCTGCCTTTCTCCCTATCTGTCCGTCTGTCTTATAGACTAACCGTTCATCTGCCTGTCTGTCTGTTTGGATGTCCAGATGTCCGTAAAAAAATGAAATTTATTCAATTTTCTTCAAAAACAAAAAGAGCAATGAGGCTGGCGAAGAGCCAGTAGCTCAAAATCGATAAAATGTCTGTCTGTCTGTGCAGAAGTCTGTCCAGATATCCAGATGTTGGGATATCATGTCTGTATGTCCTGATGTCTGTCTGACCGGATCATCTATCAGCAAACATGTCTGGATTTCCGGATGTCCAGATGTCCTCCCCACCTACCGTTTCCAAAACTAGAAAATAAAGCTAAAAATTTTGAATTGAATCAAATTCAAAAGTTTATTAGATTTATTCATCACAAATTTAACAGCAAAAAAACAGAGAAAATAAATATGGATTAGAGTGGTCTTGCACCGTGTAGTATTGGAAATCCATTCGCAAATTCCCCTAACAAGGGAGGTAACTTACCTCGTCCTTTCAGAATTTTCTATAAATTTGCAGATGAACTATATTTGACCCCCTTTGAACAAAAATCATAGTGCCAAGGGCCAAGAATGTCGAAAAAAAATTTCGATTTTTTTGCCAAATTTTTTTCAAAAAAATTTTTCGAATTTTTTATTTGTTGTTTTTCTAGGTCAGCATGACCCCAAATTGATGGTATCATCAAATGATGCCGCATTCCAGGCAGTTTTCCTTCATTTTTTGCCAGTGTGGAAGGAGAGCCAAAGCCTCTTGGTCTTTGGTTCCCTTTCTATATTCTTCGCCCGAGTATCCATCAGTAGGGAGTACGTGCGTATGCACGTGCCCACTAGTGCGTGGGCACAAGGGATAGAGGCACACGCCACCACGCCCCTAAGAATATGTTTTCTATTCAGTTCCATCAGAGAAACACCTAGGAGCAGCCCAACCGGCTCCTAGGACAATAAATGTTTAAACATTAGAAAGTGTTTTCTATCTACATTGATGGAGGCATTAAGGCAGATAATGCCTTCCGCTAACATGGAGGTTCCCCTACCGAGTGAGAACTCGAATAATTATCTTCATATAATTATTCCTGGGTCCCGCTAACTTCTGAATCGTTTTTTGCCACTGCGAGTCATCTGCAGTAAACTTTTCTGAGTTAGCGGAAATATTGCTACACCACTACACCTATTCGGACCCTATTCACTCCCCTTACCATCGCTAAAACATCTGCACCCTCACTACTATTATTCTATTCTCGTCTGGTTATGTACGTTGGCAGTTGACGTTTTGTTTCTCGTTTTATGGCGGATTTCGGACTTTGTCACTCACACATGGATCGGATGGTATTGTGATCACAATGCATTGTCCTGCGATGCAGTCAAATACGTGCTTTATCCTGCGATGCCGAAAACTAAATAAGTGTTTCTTTCTATCATTTCCACTTTCACCCCTTTCCCTAACTCATTAAATTGACTGCGATTTTAATGCTATGAGCAAACCAGTCCCCTGAGTTTAAGTTGATTAAGCGCTCAAACTGCCGCTTACATTTGTGGATAATGATAGAGGCCGCAACTAAGGTGTTCCATGTTCAAAATTTTTCCCCTCTAGCTTTATTGTAAAACGAGACCCAAACAAAATTTCCTCAAAGGATCCTTCTGCTTATTATTGGCCCCGCCCCGCTTAGAACCGTTCCTACGGGCCCGGTAAATAGTATTATCTAAGGTAATAAGTTATTAGGTGAATCTGTTTATTTTTGTATGTTTTCCAGACTTGATTATTTTATTAGTAGGAGATAGTTTTTTTCACTCTATTGTTATTCCTCTTCTAGGAATGTTTCAAACTCGAGCACATCACCACCTGTTGCTTCGAGGGCGAAGCAATTCTAAAAGAGGGGGGAATGTGGTGTCGTGAGCAACACCTATTGTTTCTTTTCTTTTAGGAGGCTGTGAGTACTCGGGCTTTTAAAATTTATAAGCTCAGAGGACCTCGCTGCTTTCTAAAAGGGGTAGGATGTGGAAGGAGAGCCAAAGCCTCTTGGTCTTTGGTTCCCTTTCTATATTCTTCGCCCGAGTATCCATCAGTAGGGAGTACGTGCGTATGCACGTGCCCACTAGTGCGTGGGCACAAGGGATAGAGGCACACGCCACCACGCCCCTAAGAATATGTTTTCTATTCAGTTCCATCAGAGAAACACCTAGGAGCAGCCCAACCGGCTCCTAGGACAATAAATGTTTAAACATTAGAAAGTGTTTTCTATCTACATTGATGGAGGCATTAAGGCAGATAATGCCTTCCGCTAACACCAGTTTTCCGACAATTCGACGAGAAATGAAAATTTGGATTTTCCGAAGAATCCGTAATTTTGGACTTTAAAATGATTTTTGTTACGTGAAAATTGGCGAAAGGCCGTTTCTGAGTCTCCTGATAACACCCTGTAAGTTTGGAGAAATTCTGAAAAACCTTGAAAATTTCGAGGTTTCGGACTCACAAACAGGGGGGACCAAGCACTGCAAAAAATTCCGAAAATTTTTCGAAAAAAAAATTTCTTCAGAAATGATCAGAAATGGTTCCTACATGTCTGGACGTACCAAATTTCATTTGGCGACGCTCGGAATAGACTGCAAGGCACAAAAATGCATCATTTTTGAGCTGATTCAGTACTGGAGAATCACAAAAACCGAAATTTACCCACTTTTTTGGGAGTCTTGGCCCTTCTCGCTATGATTTTTGTTTTCAGGGGGTTAATTATAGCCTGCCTGCAAATTTTCAGAAAATTCTGAAAGGACGAGGAAAGTTACCACCCTTGTAAAACAAACAAATCGATAGTTCCTTTGAACCAGAAAAAGAATGATTCGAATGCCAGAGCATGATACGGCATTCCGGGCACACCTTTACATCTACGGTTGGATGCCATAACAAATGCTTGAGGCAACTCGGTGTCTAGTTTTGTTAGGATATCTCGAGGTTCAACTCGCTGTCGGAATGTCACCACGAACTTTCCCGGCTCTTCGGTGAAGGCCAGATACATCTGAAAAATTAGAGGAGAAATTTGAGAATAGTCGCATTTTGATCAGCACGTTAAGCGCTTTGAAAAGAGTATAATCATGACTGGGTTTTCAGAAAATTTCAAATTCTTGGCTTTTTGGGTCTCACCACGAAAATTTCAAAACTACAGTATCTTGGTCGGTTTTGATCCGAATTAACTGAAAATGAGACGATTGGAATCAGCTCATCAAGACGGTTCAAATGAGTATAATCATGACTAGGTTCTGAGAAAATTTTCAAATTTTTGGATTTTTGGGTCTCACCACGAAAACTCAAAAACTACCGTAACTCAGTCAGGTTTGCTCCATTTGAATTGAAAATTGGACGGTTAAAATCAGCTCAACAAGACGGTTCAAATGAGTATAACCATGACTAGGTTTTGAGAAAATTTCGAATTTCGGATTTTTGGGTCTCGCCACGAAAATGTAAGCACAGTAGTCTTATGGAAAAAAAAGACGAAAAAACTTGACCGCATGCGGAACCGAACCCGTGTCGTCAGATTCAAGGGCAGCAGCGTTAACCACTACACCACTAGGGGTAGAGGGCAAAGAGAGGCCGCCGCAGCTGTCGCCTGCATGGTGTAGTGGTTAACGCTACTGGCCTCGGATTTTTAGACGCGGGTTCGATTCCGTCTGAAGTCGAATCTTTTTTTCTTTTTTTTTCTATCATGAGTAGGAGAGAAAAATTGACCAAGATACTGTAGTTTTGATATTTTCCCAAAAATACAAATTTCTCGGAACCTAGTCATGATTATACTCATTCGAACCGCCTTGATGAGCTGATTTCAACCGTCTACTTTTCAAATCATTTGGAGCAAAACTGACCGAGATACTGCAGTTTTGATATTTTCGTGGCAAGACCCATAAAACCAAAAATTTGAAATTTTTTCAGAACATAGTCATGATTATACTCATTTTAAAGCTCTCGACTTGCTGATAAAAATGCGCATATTTTCAAATCTTTCTGTGTCCATCAGAGCGCACTTTCAAACCTACCTTAACCAATTTCCAAGCGTCTTCTCTACTCAATCTCTCGACCCCGATAAAAATGTTCTTAATATTCAAAAAGTCATCATAATTGACTACCAAATTACTCGAATGTTCGGCAGATGTATCCGTGTTCAAATGAACTGAATCACAGCTTTTCCATTGTTCAGTGTTAACAATTGAGCCGTAGATTTCATTGGTGCAGAGTTCCGGAATTTTGATAGTTTTCAGAAAAGAAGGATCACAATTTTCAATCAGTTCTTTGTAAAATTCAGAAAATTCCGGATGAAATCTCATCTCCAAACTTTTCCATTTCAAAAGTTTCTTGAATATTATATTCTCAAGAATCAATTTAGCCTCAGCAGTTTGTATATTGACACTGAGGTCCTCAATAGTGGAGTAGGGACAGGCAATGAAAAATGAGAAGTCATAGAGAGTGAATTGAAAATTATCATTGACTACTACTGATTCCTCTGTTATTATTACTGATTTGAGGTAGTTCGGTACCCCGCGTAGTAGTTTGCACGTTCTTTTGGAGCAATTGGAGAAGGTGAGTCTGGAAAAAAAATTTTTTTGGCCTAACACCCCCAGTTTTTGACCCAAAAATACCTATTTTGAGCCCAGAAACACTAAAAATCATAGAAAAAGTTAGTAAAAAAAAAGAAAAAAGGTTTAGACCCCACTAGGAATTGAACCCTCGACCCAAATTTCCAAAACAAGAGCGTTAGCCACTACACCACGGAGGCAACGGCGGTGAGAGAGGGGGAGGGTAGAGATATTGAGGCGGCGCCCCCCTCCCCTTTCCCCTGGGGGAGGGGGAGGTGCAGTGATAAAAAATGTTATTTTTCGAATTTGCATCAGAGCGCATTTGCAAAAATTATCAAAGAATCGAAATACTATTGAAGTTTTGGCGGGAATTTAATTTTTCGCAATATATTCTATACTTTGAAGGAAAACTGCGCAAAAAACACGAAAAGGACAATTTCAATTGACCCCCAGAGTGGAAAAAAATGAACTCACTTCTCAAATTGATCCATATTTTTCAGAACCTCATACTTGACAAGAATTGGGAAAAATCTCCACTTTTTCATAGTTTTTTTGATAGGAAGTTCAATAAAAAAGGGGCAAAAAAGGTACGAGGACCATTCAAACGGGAGGTAGATTACCCGCCCAGATATCCAATGGAGCGCATTTGCAGTGACCTTTGTGGTGGTCTTTGTACCAATTCTGCTCCCTTTCTATTCATTTCCACTCATCAAAATAACCATGAAAAAGTGGCGATTTTTGCCGATTCTTGTCAAGTATGAGGTTCTGAAAAATATGGATATATCGGATAGGTTAGTTTTTTTTTCATTTATATTTGCCATTTTGCGGGCTTTTGAAAAATATTTCAATTTTTTCTGTGATATTTTTCTATCCCGAAATCGTTTTTTTCCGCTCAGTCGGATTTCGGAAATATAACTTTCATTTCCCATTTTTCCATTCAACTACCGGATCATTTCTTCCAAAGGTTACCAGTACTAATCCCTCTTCGCTCGGGCCTCCCTCTCCCCGGTGGGTCAGTCGATAATATTGCCCTGTTGTCCTTGGGTCCTTGGAGGGGGTGGCCACGCACAGTCAAGGATGATGCAACTGCGCTCTAATCCACTTTTCTTTAAAATAGTCCAAGACTAGCTAAAAAATGCACCGTGCACCTTTAAACTGGGGTTAGGCGAGCCGCCCCCACTCAGCTGAAACTGGACTGGATTTGGCTAAAAATGATCCGAATTCGGACCAAATCAGATCATATTGGTCCCGTTTTTGACTCGAAATGCCTCAAAGCTTAGCTGCAAATGGAAGAAATGACTCAAAACTAGCTATTGATACACCATGCGCCTTCAAACTTGAGGTTGGGAAAGTGCGCTCTGATGCGAAACAAAAATTAAAAAAAAAAAGCATCCCCCTCTCGTATCCTTACCACCTTGAAGCCAAAGTCAAGACGGTCAAAATTGTCAAGAAACGAAGTTTCTTGCACAATTTTGAAGCGAGTTATGCGTCTTTAAAGTTGGAGGCGAGAGAGTGAGAGACGCAGAGATGACGACTGTCTTCTTCTCTGCCGTCTCCTTGCGTAGTGTCACAGTCACCCCTCCCCTCCGGGGAGAGGGCGCCGCCGCAATATCTCTACCCTCCACCTCCTTCTCTGCCGTTGCCTCTGTGGTGTAGTGGCTAACGCACTTGTTTTAGAAATTTGGGTCGAGGGTTCAATTCCTAGTGGGGTCTAAACCATTTTTCTTTTTTTTCACTAACTTCTTCGATAATTTTTAGATTTTCTGGGCTCAAAATAGGAATTTTGGATCAAAAATCAGGGTATTCTGGTTAAAAGAAAAGGTTTTTCAGATTTTCCCTCGCCCAATGCTCCAAGCGAACCTGCAAACTGCTCAGCGGGGTTCCGAACCAACTGAATTCAGTGGGCATAGAAGAGGAGTCACTAGTAGTCAGTGATAATTTTCAATTCTCGCTCAATGACTTCTCATTTCTCATTGCCTGTCACTACTCCACTATTGAGGATCTCAGTGTCAATATACAAACTGCTCCGGCAAAATCCATTCTTGACAATATAATTGAATCTCGGAGAATCATAAAATTGAAAAGTTTGGAGATGGGATTTCATGAAGAATTCCATCAATTATACAAAGAATTGATTGAAATTTGTGATCCATCGATTCTGAGAACCATCAAAATTCCTCAACTATGCACCACCCAAATCTACCTGTCAATTGTTAATACTGAGCAATGGAAACATTGCGAGAGAATCTATTTGAATAGTCATGAATCTGCACAACATACGAGTTCATTGGAAGTGAATTACGACGATTTTTTGCATTTCAAACATATTTTCATCGGAGTCGATGCTATCGATGAAGAGGACGCGTTTAAATTGGTTCAGGTAAGGGTAGGGGTTGGGTATAGGAAGGTGAAAATTGGCGTATTTTGATCAGCATGTCAAGAGCTTTGAAATGAGTATAATCATGACTGGATTTTGAGAAAATTTCAACTTTTGGGGTTTTTGAGTCTCGCCACGAAAGTATGAAAATTACAGTATCTCGGTCAGTTTTGCTCCAAAAGAATTGAAAATTGGACGGTTGGAATCAGCTCAGGGAGGCAGTTCGAATGAGTATAATCATGACTAGGCTTTGAAAAAATGTGAAAGTTGGAAATTTTTGGGTCTCGCCACGAAAAGGTCAAAACAACAGTATCTTTTACAATTTTTCTTTCCAAGTCAAAATTAAACTCATTCAAACCGTCCTGATGAGCTGATTCTAACCGTCGAATTTTCAACTCATTTGGAGCAAAACTGACCGAGATTCTGTAGTTTTGACATTTTCGTGATGAGACCCAAAAGTCAAAAATTTCTCAGAACCTAGTCATGACTATACCCATTCGAACCGTCTTGGCGAGCTGATTTCAACCGACTATTTTTCAATTCATTTGGATCAAAACTGACTGTGATATTTTAATTTTGAGATTTTCGTGGTGAGACCCAAAAATCCCAAGTTTCGAAATTTTCTCAGAACCTAGTCATGATTATACTCATTTGAACCGTCTTGATGGACTGATTGCAATCATACAGTTTTCATAGCTTTTGGGGTGAAACTGGCCGAGATACCGTAATTCGTGGCGAGACCCAAAAATCCCAAAATTTGAAATATCCTCAGAACCTAGTCATGATTATACTCATTTCAAAGCTCATGGCATGCTGATCAAAATGGGCCTATTTTCAACTTTCCAGACCCAAAACTGAGAACAAAAAACCCGAAATTTTCAGATGTATATGGCATTCACAGACATAGATGGAAGTTTCGAAGTGTGGACTCGAGAGCGCATCTTAAGAAACTTTGTTTTCAACAGAGTCCGTACCGCGTATCCAAGAGTTGTTTTCATCCCAGCAGGCAGTTTTATAAGAGGTCTATGGGTTCCCGGGCTCATACATTGTACACTGGCTCTCTTCCCAGACTATTTTTCGTTTCGTGGAGAATTTAGAGACAATATTGCAATAATGCGTGAGAATATCAGGCGTCATAACGAACGTGTCGGACTGGTAGCCCCGCCGTAAATCATTCCATCAATTTATGCAATTCCGCTCTACCGAACATCAAATAATTTTCCGTCAATTGTCCATGATTCATTTCACCTCTCTGTAAATCTCTCGTAATTTTTTTCTGTTTTTTTTTTCAAATTTTATGCAACTTTGCTCTATCGAACACCTTTTTTCAATTCATGTTAATTCCGATTTGAACGTCTATAATAAAGAACTGATCATCAATCTTTACTGTTAACAATCATTGCTTTGTCTGTCGTGGGTGGTGTTTTCGACTCTAGAGCCAATCCTGCTGGCCCGATTTGTATGCACAACATTTGAACACAACAAATCCTTGACAAGAATTGGGAAAAATCCCCACTGTTTCATGGTCATTTTGATGGGAAAATGAAGAGAAAGGGGGCAGAAGAGGTACAAGGACCATTCAAACGGGAGGTAGATTCCCCGCCTAGATATCCAATGGAGCGCATTTGCAGTGACCTTAGTGGTGGTCCTTGTACCTCTTCTGCCCTTTTCTATTCATTCCCACTCATCAAAATAACCATGAAAAAGTGGCGATTTTTCCCGATTCTTGTCAAGTATGAGGTTCTGAAAAATATGGATATATCGGATAGGTTAGTTTTTTTCTCATGTGTGATATCATTGGGGGGTTTTTTTTCTAATATTTTTCATTTTGCACGAGTTTTTGGGATATATTTTTTCTGTGGTATTTTTCTATCCCAAAATCTTTTTTCTGCTCCGACAAAATACGGAAACTTAACTTTTATTTCCCATTTTTCCCATTCAACTACCGGACGATTTCTTCCAAAAGTCACCAGTACTAATCCCTCTTCACTGCGGGCCCCGGTGGGTCAGTCGATAATATCCCCCTGCTGTTCTTGAGTCCTTGGAGGGGGTGGCCGCGCACAGTCTAAGAAGATGCAAATGCGCTCTAATCCACTTCCGAGGTAGTTGGGAAAAAAACAACAATATTCCACCTCACTCGGAATCGAACTTACCCTTTTAGTTTGGAAGACAAGAGCGCTAACCGCTACACCACAGCGAATTCAAAGAAAAATATTCTTATCACCCCTCTCCAAAAAAAAATTGGGCCAAGATGACCCATTTCCGTCTCTAAAATAGTCCAAAACTAGCTGAAAATGCACCGTGCGCCTTTAAACTGGGGTTAGGCTATCCGCCCCCACTCAGCTGAAACTGGACTGAATTCGACTAAAAATGATCCGAATTCGAACCAAATCAGATCATATTGGTCCCGTTTTGGGAAAGTGCGCTCTGATGCGAAAAAAAATTCAAAAAAAATCATCCCCCTCTCGTATCCTTACCACCTTGAAGCCAAAGTCAAGACGGTCAAAATTGTCATGAAACGAAGTTTCTTGCACAATTTTGAAGCGAGTTATGCGTCTTTAAAGTTGGAGGCGAGAGAGTGAGAGACGCAGAGATGACGACTGTCTTCTTCTCTGCCGTCTCCTTGCGTAGTGTCACAGTCACCCCTCCCCCCCCCCCCCCCTCCCAGAGGAGAGGGCGCCGCCGCAATATCTCTACCCTCCTCCTCCTTCTCTGCCATTGCCCCTGTGGCATAGTGGCTAACGCTCTTGTTTGGAAAATATTGGTCGAGGGTTCAATTTCTAGTGGGGTCTAAACCTTTTTTTCTTTTTTTACTAACTTCTTCGATGATTTTTCGATTGTCTGGGCTCGAAATAGGAATTTTTGGCTCAAGAATTAGGGTATTCGGGTTTAAAAAAAAAAGGTTTTTCAGATTTTCCCTCGCACAATGCTCCAAGCGAACCTGCAAACTGCTCAGCGGTGTTCCAAACCACCTAACATCAGTGACAATAACAGAGGAATCAGTAGTAGTCAATGACGATTTTCCATTTTCTCTCAATGACTTTTCACTTCTCATTGCCTGTCCCAACTCAACAATTGAGGATCTCAGTGTCAATATACAAACTGCTGAAGCAAAATTGGATTTTGAGAAAATAATTTCCAAGAAATTCCTAAAATGGAAAAGTTTGGAGATGAGATTTCATCCGGATTTTTTTGAATTTCACAAAGAATTGATTGAAAATTGTGATCCTTTTTTTCTGAAAACTATCAAAATTCCGGAACTCTGCACCAATGAAATCTACGGCTCAATTGTTAACACTGAGCAATGGAAAAGCTGCGATTCAGTTCATTTGAACACGGATACATCCGCCAGACATTCGAGTCGATTGGTTGCCAATTACGATGATTTTTCGAATTTTAAAAACATTTTTATCGGAATCGAAAGTTTGAGTAGAGAAGACGCTTGGAAACTGGTTAAGGTAAGATTGAAGTGCGCTCTGATGGACACAGAAAGAATCATGATGGGCGTATAATTATGACTAGGGTTCTGAAAGATTTTC